ATCACTTATAGTGTAATCAGTGAGGGGATTCTACAGACTGTTGAGGGTTCAGCCTCCTGATGAGTCGGTGAAACTCCGACGAAACAGTTTGTCACAGCCCCTCGTTTGTTGTCCTCTTCTCCCTCTCTGCCTACGGTTTACCGGATATATATATCGTATATTGTCACATAACTACAAACTAAAAGAGCGCACTTTGCGGAACATAGAATAAAAGCAAAAAACGGGCACAGTGATAACATGCAAAAATAAAAATAAAAACAAAAAGAAAAAACAAGGGCATATATATAAATAGAGAGAGAGAGAGAGAGAGAGAGAGAGAGAGGACATGACAAGGAAACTGGTACACAGAGCATATGAAAAGAAGAGAGAACCTCAATTTCTCAACAGCTAGAGTGAGAATGAGCTGCTGCAGTTGGATGCCTACCTCTCGGGGTGGCCCTACAGGCTCACATATACAAAGAGGCATGTGGCAGCGACACTCGATCGCTGACGCCTGAGAGTCTGAAGAATCAGAGGCTCCTCTGACATCATTTGTAAGCCGCAAGCTGGCAACCACGGCATCCGCCTTCGTTCTTGTGGAAATTCTCCTCACTTCATTCTCTGTTTCCAGAGGCTCGGCATCTGACAGAGTTGTCTCCAGGTTGCTCGCCGATTGCTCACGCGATAGACTTGTGTCACTGAAAGATGCAGCCAGCCACCATCACCACAATTGCATCAACAACGTCAATCACCATATCGACCATCATGACCGTTCTTGTCCAACTGGATTTCCCAGGAAGTTCCACCTATGGTGCTGAAACCTCTGGAACACATAATAGGACCAACAACAAGACATTTGGGGTGAGAAGTTCAGGTGAAGGAAGATGTCAAGAAGGGTTGAGGTTGGGAGTTTGACTATAAGCTCTCAGAAAATTTCATCTTCTTCTGTGTGTTCCTTTTTTGTTTTTTTTCATCTTCCAAATTCTTTCAATTCACCTTGACTACGTACCTACCACTACTCCTCAGGCTTAGACAGAGGACCCCTGCAAACATAGCTCTGTTGTCTCCCTCCAGCCATCAGAGGGGATGCATGTTGCTCCCGCCCCCCGCCCCAACCATGGTGGTCAAGGATGGGGTGGGGCCGCCGGTGGGGGTCCGGCTAACGCAAAGACTGAGCATTTTTCCAGTAGCTGCGCCCCCCTTTTCATCGTCCCCCACCCCCAACCGAATAACAGCTGTGTCTAAGGCCAACACTCTCCCACACACCACACACAACCCACTCACACTCACACTCACACCCGTGTTCGCCAAGGACCCTGCTATTACTGATCAGAGGTATCAAGCAGCGGACTATCACCGCTGGTTGGCACTAAGTGCACCGCAGGCGGTTTCGGGGCACGAACCCACAACCTCCTGAATGCCACTTGCGTGCCTAACCAACTGATCTAGGCCGCTGGATTGTGTGTTCATTTTGTTGCTGCTTGGTAGTCCAAGTTCACACAGACAAAAAAACTCAAGTTCACAAGTGTACATGAACCTCCCCGCAAACACAATGCACTGTCATCACCACCAAGTCGAACCTGAAAGATAGCTGTTACACATTCATGAACATGGTGCACGGTGTTTGGGGGAAGACGGCAGCGTTTAATTTACAGAGAATGCAGAGCAAAATGTACGGGGATGCTGGGCTCTTCAGTCATGTCTACGTTAAGGCTCTCTCCCCCCCCCACTCCAACCAAAAAAAAAAAAAGGGTACCTTTCACGTATGCAGAGGGAAGAATTGACATTCTGGTTTCCCCAAAAGATAACGTCAATAACACAGCGACCACTGCTCACTAAGTAAATGAAACTCGCTGCTGAGAAAGGCGGCAAGTAGAAGAGGGGCAAGTGCGAAAAACTTACATGCTTGGCATCTCAAAGCAGGTGTCACACACACGGACAGGCGTGCTCATTCCAAACTGAGGAAGAACCTGCAATGGCAAGACACACCACACAGCACAATGTGAAAACACCATCGACTTGATTGCAGAACACAAACACGCACACACCCACCCACCCCCACACACCCACACATCCCCACAAGCACCCCCCCACACACACACCCACCCGCCTCCCAACACAAGCACACACACTCACGCACCCACACATCCACCCACTCACCTCCACACGGACCCACAAACACCTACCCACTCACACCCACATCAACTCGCATTCACCAGTTTACACCCACCCACCCATGCACACATGCACACACCCACCCACACACACACACGCACACACACCTCCCACCCACACACACACACCCACACGCCCGCACACACACGCCCACACATACATGCCCACACACACACATGCCCGCACACGCGCACACGCAGAAAGAGAAAACGAAAAAGAGAGAGAGAGAGAGAGAGAGAGAGAGAGAGAGAGAGAGAGAGAGAGAGAGAGAGAGAGAGCTACTACACTAAATGGTCCAGCAGCAGTGCTATTGCAGAGCAAACAGCAGCCAGGCGTACCCATACAACGCACCAGCATACTGATGGACAAGCCGTCACACCACTCCGTCCACCAGCATACTGATGGACAAACAGAAGCCAGGTAAATGACAGCAGTCACAAGCCATATGCAGGAATGGAAGTCAACTCATAGCCATCAATGGTTAAACCACCACTCCGTCCACCGCCAGGAAAATGCCTCGTTGGGCGCCCGTGGTCACGCACAGGGTGGTCAAGGTACTGTCCACGGGCGGTCAACAGCTTTTCGGAATATTTAGGGTGTACCGACTTCGAAGATTTTGCACGATCAGAGTTTTCGACGACAACATCTGAAGAGAAATCAGGAACGTAGATCGACTGCTGATGCTTTCAGAAAAAAATTGAAAAATCAAAAAGAAATTTCTGCGTTGCTTCACTGTTTTTCTGTGCACCAGGTCACAAATTTTGTGCCTGTACACACCCTCGGCGGCCTGGCCAGGCAGGACCATGAGGCACGGTCTCTGCAGTCCCAGCAAAAAAACAAAAAGAAAACTACAAAAAATGGAAAAACACTATGTTAGTATGTTGTCATCGTTGTATAGACTTGCAACACAAACAACGTTTTTGTCCTTCTTTCCTTCTTTAAAAAGGCGACATCATACTTGTGGTGCACTGGCCGCGCACACGCGGCACACGGCGTATCGTGCACACAGCGAGCGCATGCGGTGCACATGCAAGGCCAAAAAGGAGGGGGGGAGGGGGGGGGGCAAAATGAAAAACGGTTGGCGGGGGACCTGAAACATCATTCCCCCCAGCGGCCAGAAATGTTTGACAGGTCATGCAAAACTGTTTTGGGGCCGTGCCAAGGCCCGAAAAGAAACTTGTCGGGAGAGCCAGCCAACTTTCAATTCAAGACTTTTGAAGTTCGCAAGTCCCCCCCGGGCGAGGCCACAGCTGTTACTTCCCATGAGAAACATTCCTCCCTCACCTGCCTCATCGCCCCACTATTGGCTTGCTGTCCGTCGTCCTCCGCCAGCTTCCTTCTCCATAGCTGGCGACATACTCTGCAGGCAGTGGCAGTGGCAGCAGGCAGTGTCAGCAGGCAGCATCGTTGCACAGCAGGAGTGCCAGAAGTCAAGGAGCAAAGCGCACCAGGTGGGCAACCACCATCCCTCCCTCCACCTTCTGCCACACCTCCCTCCTCCACGCACCGCCTGTCTCCCGCCTCCTTTGCCATTCCTGCCTCCACCTACCTTCCGGCATGCCTCCCTCCTCGCTCTTCCGTCCTACCACCATCCCTCTATCCTCCTTCATCCCTCCACCCGCCATCCCTCCCGCCTCCTTACCTTCTTTGACATTCCTCCCTCCACCTTCTGCCATACCTCCCTCCTCCACGCACCACGTTTCTCCCACCTCCTCTGCCATTACTGCCTCCACCTTTCTCCCACCTCCTTCGCCATTCCTCACTCCACCTTCTGCCACCATACCCCCCTCCTCCAGGCACCACCTTTTTCCCACCTACTTCGTCCTTCATCCCTCATCCTCTGTTTTCTTTTTCAAAGTTACATCGTCATTTATGTTCCTCCTCCCACCTCCTTCCTCACTCCTTCGACATTCCTCACTGAGCTGAGGTTACCTGTGCAAGGAAAATGAGCAATCGCGAAATGACAGAATTCCAGATTGCAAATCACATTGAAAGCCAGGTAGTCGAACGCTGTCCAGAAAGCAGAATTGCACTGGTATTACACCGAAGGAGAACCAAAGCATCGAACTCAATTGTCAATGAAAGCATATACTCGCCACCACCACCAATGCAATCGTAGCTCTTCCTCCTACTGGCGCTCAGCGCCCAGACTACTATCCTACAGCTATCTACTAGCAACGAAATGACAAGCAACTTGTTGACGTAAGCAGCAGCAACCGAAGTACATGCAGATATCTACCATGTAGACCATCACCAAGACCAGGTACGTGCTCTCGCATCACCTCCATCTCTCTCTCTCTCTCTCTCTCTCTCTCTCTCTCTCTCTCTCTCTCTCGTCTTCTTCACCCACGTCTCCCCTCACACGAAGACCACCACCAGACCCCACCAGCCCTTTTCCAAGCTCAGCCCGGCTATGGAGGGCTGAGCTATGGCGCTGCCTCCTTGCAACGCCCTGCCTCTAGCGACTGTCATCGCTACCCTCTGCACGAGCGCCAGCAGATACGCACCAACCTAAGCTCCAGCAGCGCTCTCACCAGCACTATCAAGTGCACGAATGAAATGCACGGCCTTGCTGCTTTCCTATATAGAGAGCAGCTGGGCTCTCCTCCGCTGGGCAGGGGCGCGCGCGTTTCCAGTAGCTTCCAATTCTCCCAAAGTGTCTCCGCCCAGGCCTGTTCAGACAGTGGCCTGAGACCGAATTGGTTAGGCAACCCCAACGTGCGGTGTTCTCTGCTTTCCCCACGTCGATGGAAGAGCCTGGAAGGCTCACAAATATTTCAGATTCTCACGAGCGAGGCAGATGTAACAAACTGGCACGTGTGAACTGTCTGACGCCAACGAAGACTTTGCAAAATTGACAAGTACAGGCCTCGTTGACATTCAGGGGCCCGCCTTCACTCACTTAGGGCGGGCACATGTTGGCAGTGGCGGCCCCTCAGGGGCATGCCGAGGACTTGAGGAGGTAAATCCTCACACCTGGTGCAATCTGAGCTTCGTTCTTTTTCATAGAAATGTATGTGCTCTGCAGCTCTGCCCTTGTCCTTCCTCCAACTTATTCCATGCAACCGCCATCTCCCCCACCTCCTTCCTCCAGCCATCCGCCATCCCTCCCTCCTCCTTCCTGATGTCTTCTGTTAGCCTCCCTCCTCCTGCCTCTGTCTTTCACCATTCCTTCATCCCGGATCCAAGTCATTTTCCATCCTCCTCCTCCTCCTCCTCCTCCTCCTCCTCCTCCTCCTCCCCCCCCCCCCACACTCTCTCCTCCTTCCTCCCCCTGTGCCCCCCACCCCGCCCCCTGCTCGTTCCTCCTTCACCATTCCTCCATCACTCCCTCCTTCACCGCTCCACTCTATCCCTCCCTCCTGCTCCCTCCCTCGTCATTCTGCCATCACTCCTTCCTCTCCATCCCACCATCCTCCCCCCTTCCCATTCCTCTATCCTGAGCCAGTGTTTGGTGATGCTGTCCCTTCCGTATTCCAATTGCAGGGTTTTTTTCCGGCCAAATTCAACATCGATTTGTAGAACTTGGTTGGTGAAATCTGTGGTGATCTGGGTGAAAACTGCTGGAAGCGAACGCCGCCGGATTTGAGTTTATTAAGGATTGGGCGAAGACCTTGACTTGAGGGAATTTATGAAGAAGATCAAAGAAAGATTTCTAGGAAGCAATCCACAGCAGCAGGTGTTCTCCTTTCCTTCCGGTTAATGTGAATGGGAATTTCATTTTCACTTTTTCCCTCTTCACTTCTCTTTTTGGGGTTTCGTCAGGTGGATTTCATTGCATCTCCCATCAGTTTCTTCACTGGTTCAGGTTTCAGTTCTTCTTCAGTCTTCTCCTGTTCTTCTCTGGTCATCGGTTGCTTTGCTTGACCGCATTGGTCAACGTTGTCAACTGGGCAGAAAGCAGCAGCAATGACTTTTGTCTAACTTCGTCTCCAAGGGAACCAGATAAGACATCAGATTCTGAATGAGAGTTGCAACATCACTTTCTTCTTTCTACTTTACCTTACTTTGGATTTCATTCATTTTCCTTTCTTCTTCTTCTCTCTTTTTCCTTTGATGTTCCATGGCACCCTTCTTCGTCTTCTCTGCCTGCAATGCTTCTTCTCGCTGTCTGATATTCTGATCAACTACATCCTCATTTAATTCTTGTCTGGTTTCCCCACTTGTTTCTCCTTCTTTCTTTTTGTCCTCTTCTTCAATGTGTTGGGTATTTCGGGCCAGCATTTCCCTGGCAAATTAGTCCCGACTGTGACGGGCCCTGGCCATAACCAGGTTCATTTCTCCGGCCACACGGAGGAGATCGAGTCCCGTCTCAGCCCTGTCCAATTGCTCGTTGAAACTGCACAGGTCGAACTGGCTCCAGACAAGGTTTTCGGCCTCTGGACCAGCCTCATGGATTTCGGTCAGGACCTGCTGAAGTTTCAGGTTCTCCTAGTCCCTGCGGGCATTCATTTGCCCACGTGTATGCAGTTCCTCGTCTGCGTACATGGTCAGTGAGACCGGATGGAAAAACATAGGAATAAACTTTGTCAGACCAGACAACCACAAGCTGTTCCACATGGATGCCATTCTTGGAGTTACCGCACAATCAAACTATGCAATTATCTGTTCCGCGGTCTCGTCAGAAATTAGGAACAACAAACAGAAAATAAATGAAATCCAGTAAAAATAGAATATCAATGTCTTAATAGCTATTAGTTTTTTTTTGTTTTCAATGTGCGTTGCTGGTCATGATGCGAACTACCAATGTGTGTGGATTCCTTTTGGCCGTCCGATCAAGAATCATTAACAGTCAGTCCACAGGCCATACAACATCAGAAAACCGCACAGGTAAGTCCATGTCAACATCAATCAATACATGAACGAGGTAAGTCCAGATCAGTGCCAATCAAAGGCCAAGACATATAGTCCGACGTCAGTGCTCAATAGGACACATCATCCCACTATTCCTCTGGTTCCTTGTCACAGCTTGTTCTTGACAACCACAGCGGTTCTCTCTCCCTGATGACACGTCAGCAATGCTTCCGCCAGTCGGACAATGCTCTCGCCAGTATGCCCCGTAGGCAATGCTGTCGCTAGTCAACATGCCACGTCGGCATTACTATCGCCAGTCAATATGCCACATCAGCGCTTGTTCTGTCGTCCTCTTCAGCGCTTCTTCAATTAATGCGGCAATACTGGCGATTCTTTCTCTCACAGGAACCAACCAGCGAGTGGTACGTCAGCGCAGGCATATGGTGAAAACCACTCTGCCTTTGCCACGTCAGCACCCCTGCCAGAGAGAGACTTCCTGACAATTTATTCCCTTGCGGGAACCAGACAGCGAATGTCGCGTGGAAACGAGCATATGGTTAGAACCACTCTGCAGGTGCCACATCAGCACTCTATCAGAGAGAGATCGTCCAACTTGAATAGCGTGGTCATCTTCAATCGAGCAGCAAGTCGGTGAGATGAGATGAGTTCGCTCTGATACCAAATTGTAATGAGCCCAGTCTCGTCAAACAATCATGTCGTCAGATAGCAATGCCGTGAGATAACAATGTCGTCCAATGTCGAGATAATCATTCCAGCTAGTCCATCAATTCGAAGTCGTTGAAGTACATGATCCTTCATAACTACGTGTAAAGTCTCCAAGTCAAGAGTATCCAGACTAGAACAGAGAGGAGGAAGAAAAGACAGATGGAAGGAGAAGAATATTGTAGCAATCAAGTCCCTCTTCTCCTCCGGGTTTCCCCACCACTGCCACGTCAGCAATCTGTACACAGTATGACACGTGGATGATGTAAACGCAGCCCCTCGCAGACGAGTGATCCTTCAGCAGCGAGCAGAATCAGCAGCAGCATCACATCAGGTGAGACCAGGTACATACACACGACATCACATCTCGCCCACACTCTCTCTCTCATCACTACCTCGCTGCCGTCTATGGTCGCAGCAATGGCTGCCTTCCCTCTCTCTCCTTTCCTATTACACCGTCTGGCTGGCGCCCACGAAACAGCCTGGCGCCAGCGTCCTCCTCTCAAGTCTCACGTGCAGCATTGAAGCAGCAAGCAACTCGCAAGACTGAATATCCAAGCAGTGGTGAAGTCAACTCTATATAGCGTTGACTCGTGTTGTCCAGGGTCAGCTTCTGTCGGTGTGAGGCCCCGGACCGTCCGATTGCCGGACGGCTCAGATGCAATTTGTCCCAGTTTCGGTCTGAACTCCTTGAGGCCTGAATCTTTCGGAGCCTGCAGACCACTCTTAGATCATTCCAGATCAACGGCCAGGAAGTCTTATGTGTTGACTTCGACTTCTCGGATCTGGGGCTGGGTCCACGAGTTGACTGTTGACATTTCGGTAAATAGTCGGTCTAGGCCTCTTCCTAGGGCCTGTTTGACCCCTTTTTCAGGGCCAACCCGTTCGTGCTTGTCTGAGGGCACAACCAGAGCCCAGCGGCTCAATTTTGGCACACGAGTTACAGCACAATGACAAGAAGGACGACATAAAATGCGAGGAGGCCAGTGCTCTTCTTGACACTAAGGTAGTGGATTGGCATGAGTGCACAAAGCCGGGAAGCTACAAAGAACACAAGCTGCGCAGGAGATCGGCTTACATGGAGATTGCTGGCAGTGATGTACATGGAGGAGGAACGGCAGCTTGCATTGAGGGCACGCATGGCAGGCACATGGTTGGAAGGCGGAGAGAAAGCGTCCATGAGAAAAAGCATAGAAGGAAGAGATTGGAAAGGGAGGATGAGGAGGCGGTGGTTGTACGGGCAAGGGGAAGGCAGCAGCAACGCCTCCCCGAAAGAGGGGGCAGGGGCGTGTACTCTGCCTCTGTGTACCAGCAGGACTCGGGAGGTACCAACGGGACCACCTTAGTACCATCCGCACTGCTGCAGTAAATGTGACATCAGTGGGACCACCTCAGTACCATCGGCACTGCTGTACTACAGCTGACCATCTCAGGACTACAGTCTTCCCACGAATAGAACGTACACTGTACGGTCATTTTCGCTGTATACAGACTAACTTTTCCACCCAAGTACAGCTATAGTGACCGTACATTCTTTTTTTTGTTTTGTCTTGTTTTAAACAACCTAGGCTCCTTCTATTCTGCGGAGCAGCAGTCTGTACATTCTATTCAAGGGAAGAGAGACCCTGCCCCTACAAGGGGTCTGGCACTCGTGGCGAGCATCTCATTCACCACACCACACATGTTATCCGCAGGTTTGACACAAAAGAAAAGAGAAAATGTGAGCGAGTTAACGAAAAAAGAGAGACAGTAGGGGTTTGAATACACCCTTTGATTCTTCACAAGAAAAAAAAAGGCAGATTGCAGCCCTTCCCAGGACGCCCAAACACAGTGATTGGATTGGTACTGGCCAAGACACCTGCTGCCTGCCCGTGGTCATATATTCGTTCTCGCTGTATTCTGCAACATATATCTTCTCTTTTTTTTTTTTTTTTTTTTTTGGATAAACATCCCTTGGGGTGCTAGGGGTGTTGCAACATCTATCTCAACATGTCCATCTATGTACTAATTTACTACAAAAGTGCTTCCTGTTTCTTTTCCTGTTTCATGCCAAATGGGACCAAATAAAGCTGTGTCTCATCCATACCATATCTTTCGTTCGGACTTCTGAAGATTGCATGCCACATCTTACTACACACACGCGCAATCTTTGAACTGCGCAAATCACAAAGATGGGACCAAAGATGGAACCAAAGTGGGACAACCAAAGATGGGAACAAAGATGGGACCACCAAAAGTAGGACCAAAGATGGGACCACCAAAGGTAGGACCAAAGATGGGACCGCCAAAGATGGGACCGCCAAAGATGGGACCACCAAAGATGGGACCACCAAAGATTGACATGCTTCTTCAAATAGTCTGCACAACTGACATGCCACTCGCAACCGAATGCAAGCTTACCAAGCGCCACGCCTGGAATGACAACCCCTCCAATTTCCTTTGGACTTGGAGAAGAATCCGTTCAAACGACACGTGGCAAAACATGAGCCACAGGCAGAACATGAGCCACAAACGAATTGCTGCACGCGACCAGATACCAACCCACATACCCCGCACAACGCGCTTCAAAGGGAAATGCATAACCCCTCTTATCTTCTTTGGACTTGACAAGAGTCCATTCTACCGACATGCGGCAAAACATAACCCAGCCACAAACGAATTGCAAGCAAACGCCAGGCCAGATACGGACTCACATACAGGGAGCTCGCCAGTTTCCTTACTTTGGCTGGCATGCAGGCAGGCACTCATATGATAAACACAACGCGGGCACTTGGGAAGGAGCCGTCTGTTTGTTTGTTTTTTTCTCACTTTGGTATTTGAAGAGTGCTCGCCACAGACGGTCTTTCCGCAACTCCTGCAGTGATGCTGCAAAAAAGTACCAGGTGCAGGGCACGCATTCCAGCACAAGAGAAGAACAAACACAGAATCGCAACAGGAAGAGAGAACAGAAATGGACAAGTGTCAGCAAAACAAGCAGCTGAGAAGCTGACTGACACAAAACGTGCATGGCAAACCAATTATGACCCAGAAAACGACACCACACTGGCGTTTCGGCAAAGCTTGACACACAGGGGGATTCCGCCTTGGCAAAAAGAGGCTCAGGGGATGTCCCCTTCCTGGTAAAGTGGTAAACCCACGTTTTACCATCTCTTCAGAATTTCCTTGGTAGGGGTCAGACGTGAGTCTGTCCCTTTGTTTTGTTCTTCTTTTTTTTTAACAAAAAGGTCCCTTTGTATATTCCGGGCCCAGTGCCCAAGGCAAAACATACAGAATAGCAAATACAGGGATCCAATATCCTAGTTCACCAGGGCCAATCAATTTGGCATGCGTGTGGGTTTACCCGCTTGATCACGAAATCCAGATCAAAAGATTTCATGCATAGTAGAATAATTACCATTACTAATTAGCATTGCACAGTATGCATTCACTACCTCCAGGTATTGATTAACACATTGACAAGGCGGGGGTTAAGAAAGGCACAAACAAAGAAAGGGGGGTTGTGTAACAGTGTTATTTTTTCCTTCTTTTCCCATCAGAGACTTCCCGACTCATAGGGAGGCTGGTCACTACAGACATTTATACACACAGCCAACAGATGAGTCGGTCACACTCTCACAAAGCAGTCTGTCACAACTACCTTCTTTGTCCGCAGGTTCACAGGCATTTTGATGTGAGGGGACGATAGGTGTACGTGCAGGGGTTGTTGGGACCGGCAGTCCCTCCCGGTCCCATAGGTTTACTGAAGGCATCTGGTGCTTCCAATCTGCCAGTCGTCAGGATGTCGGGTACTGTGTTCTGACCTGCTGCCAACTTTCCGGTGTTCTTATGCTGTAAGTGGGCCTGGAGGCGCTCGTTAAACCACCAGTACACATGGGCCTGGCGGCGCTCGTTAAACCACCAGTAAACATGGGCCTGGCGGCGCTCGTTAAACCACCAGTACACATGGGCCTGGTGGCGCTCGTTAAACCACCAGTGCACATGGGCCTGGCGGTGCTCGTTAAAACCACCAGTACACATGGGCCTGGCGGCGCTCGTTAAACCACCAGTGCACATGGGCCTGGCGGGTTATAGTTTTCTGACTCTGCTTGGCGTTCGTTAAACCACCAGTACACATGGGCCTGGCGGGTTATAGTTTTCTGACTCTGCTTGGAGTGTGAAGTTCTTTGAAGTGACAGGAAAGCTGTGCTAACGAGTTCACCAGGCCTTTGTTTCTTTTTCCTCGTTTTTTCACTTTTCCAAAGTGCGCTGAAGGACGAAAGTAGTCGTTCATGTCCTAAAGGACAGAACTAGCCCTGGCCCACTGCATGTGGACACCTGCTCGTCCAGGTGCAATTATGTCTGCACATCCAGGTGCAATCTTTCCGGGTCGGTTTTCCCGTTTCTGACCTGATTGGGATGTTTATGTGGTGCTGTTTTTTAATGTTTCTTTTTTTTGTTTTAATTATATTTATGTGGTGCCGTTAATGTTTCTTAATTATATTCTGTGAACTGCCTCAGGTTTATTCTGTGAACAGGCCTTCCAAAAACTTGAAGAAATCAGGATGCATAATCATGATGGAAGACGAAGACGAAGACGAAGACGAAGACGAAGACGAAGACGAAGACGAAGACGACGACGAAGACGACGACGAAGACGACGACGACGACGACGANGACGACGAAGACGACGACGACGACGACGACGACGAAGACGAAGACGAAGACGAAGACGAAGACGAAGACGAAGACGAAGACGAAGACGAAGACGAAGACGAAGACGACGAAAAGAATATGAAGATGTAGAAAAGAATATGACAGAATCAACGAACTTACCGTGATGATAAATGGATAACAATGACAACTATGAAGATGAAGATGAAGATGAAGAATATGACAGAATCAACAAACTTGCCTAATGATGAATGGATTAACGAAGAAGATAAAGATAAAGATAGGAAAGAAGATAACAAGGATATGACGATGATGAATATGACAGAATCGACAAGCTAACACAAAAGAATAATTAAAAGGATGACAATGACAAAGACGAAGATAAAGAGGACGATAATTTCATGGATGATGATGAGAACGAGGGTGAAATGATGATGAAAGTGTGGGGATGAACATGACAGGATTGACGACAAACTTACCTTCCGGCGGAACACATTGAAAGTGCAATTACAGATTCCACAATTGGCGGCATCCTGAAAAGGTGGAGGGTCTGCAGCCGACCCCCCAGATATTGCCGAGTTTGCCATAACCAAAAGCTTTAGCAGGATGTGCGGATGAGATTAGATTTGCCGCGTTCGTCCTGGCAGCAAAAGACAGCGGAAGCAATTCAATATCAGTAAAGCCAGCTTGAGAACACAAGGTAGAGCCGACAAGATATGGTGGACTTAGAAGGAGATGACACTAAGGGGGATAGATGACAAACAACAGCTGCCTTTTGTCATGGTGGTTTAGAAGGACCTAGGGAGGGAGGCTTGGGAGGAAGGGAGGTTTGGGAGGTGAGGGAGGAAGGGAGGAAGGCAAAGAGAGAAGATGGAGTAGGGATGAGATATGCTGGACTTTGAACGAGATGAAAGGAGACAGGAGGGGGAAAGAGGACAAACAACAGCTGCCTTTCATCATGGAGGTTTGGGAGGAGTGAGGAAGGGAGGTTTGGGAGGAGGGAGGAAGGGAGGGAGGGAAGGAGGCAATGAGACAAAAAGAGAAGATGAAGGAGGAAAGTAGGTAGAAATTGAGATGAAAAAAGTGTTAGCCGAAGCTCCCATCCACAGCCAAAGAACATAGTCCTCATTTACTGAAACAGGGGTGGTGGGGGTGGAGCAGAGAGAAAGTCGACAAAACTTCTTCACCGCCGGTCAAAGGTCCAGTGTTTGACTTTCACACAACCAGGGTTCAAGCCCTGGCACCCTCCTTAAACCACCAGTACTTCCTAAGGCCACGGCCGTTAACGCTCCAGCCGTGGGCTGAAAGAACGGCACCCAAGTTCATCGGACTGGAAACGAATTTTTCCCATGGCCGAAGTACTGGCAGTTTAACAACATGTACTGGTGGCCTGAAATGCTGGTTTCCAAGCTGAGAGGGGATTCTACAGAGAGAGACCGAGCATAGAGACAGCAACAGCACCACTCTCAGCGGGACTGATCCTGATGTCCACCCAGGGCACCACTTCATCCGAGTCTGTGGGTTTTGAGGGAGGGCGGCGACCGGAGGCCGAAACGGCGGGCCTAGTCCGGCAATTTCAAATTGGCAACTTTGGCGTTTTTTCACGCTCAGAAGAATTCACAGAAAATTCTGAAACATTGAAAATCGGTAGATTAGGTCGTGATCTTTCTAGAAAAAATAACAGAAAATTTTAAAAAAATCATTTTGACCGTGAAACAGTCGCCACACCAATATTATGTTCCAGTTTGGTACCAACCGTACAGACTGTATGGACTCTGTGGTACCAACCGTACAGATTGTACGGACTCTGTGGTACCAACCGTACAGATTGTACGGACTCTATGGTACCAACTGTACAAATTGTACGGAATCTGTGGTACCAACTTTACAGATTGTACGGACTCTCTGGTACCAAGTGTACAGATTGTATGGACTCTGTGGTGCCAACTGTACAGATTGTACGGACTCTGTGGTACCAACTGTACAAATTGTACGGGGTTCCAGAGGAGGGCCCAACTGCCTCACTGACAGATAGTACGGACTGAGAAGAGCAAGTTCTTGCAAAAAAAAAAAAACCTACAGAGTTGAACGGAAGGACGTCGGGGAAAATCACGAAGGATATGTGTTCACAACAGTTCCTCCAGGAATGCATCTGCCCAAAATCATTGATAGTTTCATATTTTGCTTTTTGTGTTTTTTATTTTTTACTTCTAAGTTAGTTTTAGTGACCTACCCACGAGGCAGGGCATTTTCCACGGACAACTGACAGTTGCAACCAACAGGGCACTCTCACATGTACTCAAGATTTTGTATCCAGCTGCTTTTACATCCAAAGAGTCGTTGCTGTTTTTGCTTTTTTTTTCGTACAGCCGTGTGTGCTGAGGGCTGTAACGCCTGTTGGTAGGGCATATTCTCATTTGTGCCCAATGTTCTGTATCCAACTACTTCCATGTCCAAAGAGCTGTTGCATTTTATTCCTTTTTCTTTTTTTTTCCTATTTCCGTGTTTTGTTGAGGGCAGAAACGCCCTTTGGCAAACTTTCACATGTACCCAACGTTCTGGACACGTCTTTTTTTTTTCCTTTTCTTTGTTTTTTTTTTTTTTTTTGCCCCCGACAGGTACCAAAAAAGAGAATACAATGGGACCCAGGCTCGGCAAAACTCGGTGCGCAGTGAAATTCAGGGTCGGCCAAAACAGGCTCGGAGGTAGAGGTGGTTTGACCCCGGTTGTGGTTAAGCATCAACGATAACAGATTTGACTCTGACTGATCCTCTGGTCATGTGTGCAGAGAGTTCCATTTGGTTATTCTCTGAAGCAAGGAAGCTATTGGCCTCAAGTGTGAGAGCATACCCACACTACGACTTTCCAGGATGCATCTGACCTTAATGCACTGGACAGCAATTACGTCCAAAGAGGAGTAAAAATGTCCTTGTGTGAGTGTGCCTTCAAGGGGAGAGATTGGATTGGTGCGAGGAACAAGCCCTCAAGGGGCCCTACCAGACATCACATTGTTCTGGGCTAAGGCCCCCAGCAAGCCAAGTGCCCGCCCTAAGTGAAGGCGGGCCTGAATATTCGTCAAAGGCAAAATTCGACATTTCCATATGTGGGTATTCAGGCTCTCGCAGCACGCCAGTTGGTTGGGAAGACGCGTGAGCTTCACATTGCTGCGTCATACACTTGGCCCAGGCCTTGACAGTTGCGCCTGGGCACGCATACACAAAGCAGGGCCGATACATTAGGAAGCAGGCCTTCGGCCTTTGCAAAAACAGTAGTGCCAACGCACCTGCCTGGGAGCCCTGCATAGATGCAGCAAACAGCCCAAGTCCGAAGACTCAGGCCGTGCCTAACTGCAAAGGGCCCAGGCCCTCAACTGTAGTCTCGGGCCTGGGCGCAGGGTCTGGGACCCAACCGGAAGCTACTGGAAGCTTCCAGCCAGGCCACACACAGCATCCAGGAGGCTGCCACTTCCACAAAAGGAATGAGGCAGCCCAGGCCAGGCGTTCTGGCCAGCGCTGGCAATGCGGAAGTGCTGCTGCGCTCTCGCTTGATGCTGCGCTGCTGCCAAGGGCGCTGACGGGGCGCGAGAGATGAAGTGGGGCGCTGCAGGGCAGCGGGGCGCAGGCAGCCATAGCCGGGCTCCTGGGCGCCAGGGGGTACAGCGGATGATCAGGCGGTCTTCAGGGAAGGATGCGCTGTGTGGGGTAATCAAGGTCTGATTGAGGGTGACGAGATACGTACCTGGTACATGGAGAGAGGTCGGCGATGGTGTTGGCAGTCATGTACATTGGTCTTCGTGAGTCGAAGTGATCCTGTTGCATGAACCAGCTGTAGGTAGGATAGTCTGGTAGAGTAGGCTGGGCGCTGAGCGCCAGACAGAGCAGAGCGACTTTGGATACTGTGTGGCCTACAGGCATGAACATTGGTTCATTTCTTCATTGTATTGCTCTATATGGACGGTTTTCTTGGTGCATTTGTACTCTCTGCTTGGGACACGACTACTGGGACAGCTGTGTGATATCGCAACTTGGTTTTATGTATATCGCTCACACTCATATTCCTTGCATTGGCGAGTGTGAGAAAGGAAAAGACAAAGACATCATATGGACTAATGATTGCGCAAATCTCAACTGTCAGTTATTTATCTAACATCATAGCGTTGGGTCAGTTGTCTGACACAAAGCGCTTGTTTTGCTCCAGTTGGGATCATTATGTTAGACAACCGTTCCAACTTGGGACTTGGGACTTGGGACTTGGGAGAATGCGCACGGTGGCAGGTAGGGTAGGCAGGAGGGAGCAACCTCGACTCTGTGAAGCTCTGGAAGGCAGGTATGGGCATATTCTTACATTGGGAGTTGTTTGACTGAATCTAGACATAAGAACGCAAGAATGCATCCGAAAAAATGATTTGTGGTCTATATAAGATGCAGTTGCTTTCTTGCACTCGCTCTGATGGGATTTCTTTGACTGAATCTGGACGTAAGAATGTACAAATGCATCCGGCGAAGTCTGTACATCAGTATGGTCTATAAGAGGCAGGTGTTCGCTTGCACTCATTCTGAAGAAGCAACAATTCAGTGGTCAGGAGAGCAAAGAGTTGGGAGCAAAGATTTGTTGATAATCACTCGTTCGCTAGGATTTTTTGATTGAACCTGGACTTCAGAGTGGAAAGGTGCATCCAAGAAGGTTGTAGGGTATGCTCTAAGAGGCTGGTGCTTGATTACACTGGTTTTGAACAAGCAGCAGCTCTCTAGTGGTCAGGAGATCGCAAACTCGGATCACAGATTTGTTGGGAATCACTCGGGCCGTACTCACACTGGCTCGACCTTAAATGTATCTGACTGAATTTACGGCCAGATCTACATGTATGTGACTGCATTTACGTCCATAAACAAGTGAAAAAAGTCCAAGTGTGAGTACGCCCTCGTTCTGATTACTCAGCAAACCTAGAACGACTGCAAAGTTGCTAAGAGTCGCGTCGGTTCTGGAGAGGCAATCATGCCTGCAAGAAGACTTTCCAGCCAAGTCTCAATAATTGATCTTGATCCATTGATTCATTGATTAATTGATTTCATTGATTCATTGATTGATTCATTGATTGAATGACTGATTGAATGACTGATTGAATGACTGATTGAATGATTGAATGATTGAATGATAGATTGATTGATTGATTACAAAGTTGTGGAATGTGAAGTGGCTGTCAATAAATTTGTCCAAATGCTTTTCATGAAAAGAGTTAAATGTTATTTTGTGCACACGAGTGAGAAAGTTGCCTCGTTTCTCCTCTTCTTCCTCCGTTGCTTTGTTCTGAAGATCCTCCTCTGGCACTCTTCGGCAAGCGCATCATGAGCACCAGCAACGTTTACAGTCGTGCGTGCAATAAATTACAAATTGATAATTGATTGACTGCCAAGTTGTGAGAGTATGAGATGGCTGTGAATACGTTATGGTCGAATGTTTTGCAAGAATAAAGCCAACTAATCTTTCTTTGCTCCCAAACAGTTACCTACAGCATCACATTCACGTGCCCTTTTGGCGGTACGGTAGGGGCAGGTTGACAATCATGTTACATGCCCAGTTGGGCGATGTACATAATAACCGAGGATCCGCAATGTGATAAAAAGGACTGAATGGACAATG